CCTGGATAAATTAATCAGATGCAATAATCGAATTCGCAATCAAAACCCCATCAGATATTGGCAATTCAGCAATGTTATTTTTAATATAACGATTGCTATAACTTTCAACTTCAAGAAAATCATATATTTTTAGGCTTTTAAGGCCCGGTTCTCTCACGGCGCGACATGGGTTGTGTGACGTCAGAGGCGAGAAATGATGTATGTAAAAAATTTCTTGCGTCGTATAGCTTTATCTTGTATTTTTCCATTAAAAACATGATATTTTCGTATTCTTAAACCTTGTAAAAAATACCAGAAAGTAAGATATCTGTCCAATAATAAATCACGTAAAAGTGTAAAATAATTTTTTAAATAATGGTCACTGCTCAGTTATCAGAAACAACTAGATCTAGTGATCTGGTAATTTCTGATAGTAGTGTAATAAGTAGTGTATCATTATTTCAAGATTTATTTTACACTTTTATGTGATTTATTGGACAGATATCTTACTTTCTTACTATTTTTCACAAATTTTAAGAATATGAAAATATCATGTTTTTAAGGAAAAAGTATAAGGGACAAAGCTGCACGACGCAAGAAACTTTTTACATGTTATTTCTCGCCTCTGATCATCATAATTCAATATGGCTGCAGAGAGACAACCGAACCTTAAAAAGCGACTTTAAATCGAAAAGGTTGTTTCCATTGAATATATATTTCGATACATGTAGAGTTGGAGATAATTGGACAAGATAAACGTAGATAAAAATTATATAAGCGATTCTCTCTCGAAACGAAATCTATTCAAGTTTCTGCGATACATATTCATCGAATTCTTTGAGCGCTTTCCGCATCTCGTCGTATCTCGCGCGATCGCACGCCTCGTTCAATGGAAGCCAGTCGAACGCCTGATGCTCATTGGACAATGTCACAGGCTTTTCTGGATTGAGGAGCTCCGCCAGCCAATAGATCACGATCTTCGGCATTCCGTTTACCTTGTACGTCATCTCGTGTCTCGCGTCCTCGAAGATCTTCAGATCGCTCGGCACGAAGCCAGCCTCCTCCTGGGTTTCGCGCAAAGCCGTCTCCATGTCGGATTCGTCCGGGTCGACATGACCTGAGATACCGATCGTACTATCACCGTGTCGAATTATTCAATTCCATAATTTCATTTCTCGAACTTCTTAATCCCATACAGCACAAACTTTGCAGATATATTGCAGCAACCGTTGCCGTGATGTTATAATATCGTAGCAATATTGTTGCAACTGCGAGATCTATGCTGGGCTGTATGGGATTTCTTCAGGGACCACTCAGAAAAAGGTAAATTTCTTGCTTAATTAATCTATTTAAATTTAATCCATTTAGAAAAAAAAATTTTTTAATAAAAATACCATAGGAAACGATGCTCCGCGCTCATGTCTTTGTTTCTTTTGTT